ACTGAAGTTCCATGTCACAAGTCCCAGACTAAATTGTTATCTGACCTTCTAAGAAACCAAAGAAAGATGATGGTAGCCAAATTTCTCAACAGGCCGATAGTTAGGACAGCAAATTCTTTCTCTTTTAATCCTACATCCTTTTACTGTTACAAACAGCAACAACATGCTCTGATGCTGCTCTTTGTTTAGCGTAATAAGGGAAATAACTTTGCAGTGGTCATTTGGTCTTTTGTTCTTTGTTTCTGCTTTTATTGTTATTTTTTGTCTATGAAAACGGTGTCCTTTGCTCAGTCCATTGACATGAAATTAAGGGTTGGCTGATCTTAGCATGAAAAATAAAGCCAATTAAAACTTTAAACTGAGCTGGGTAAGTAGCTTACCGAGAGTGCTTGCCTACCATGCATGAACCCCTGGATCTGGTCCTCAGTATTGGAAGAAAAAAAGGAGTAATCTTTCAATTATTGTAATTTTTGTCCTTTGACAGATTATTTATAAAGAATATATTATCTAGGTCAGGCTTGGTGGCAGTCTTCTATAGTTGCAACTACCCAGGAGGCAGACACGGGAAGAGTGCTGTTTAAGGACAGCCTGGACAAAGTTAATGAGCTACTATCTCAAAAACAAACTGAACATGATGTCACACATTTGTGGTTTCAGCTACTCAGGAAATGGAGGAATGGGAACCAAGGTATAAAATTGGCCTAGGAAAAAACTAAGATTCTATCTGAAAAGGAATGGAGCAAGACTCTAGTATTTGAGTACTGTGTGTGTGTGTGTGTGTGTGTGTGTGTGTGTGTGTGTGTGTGTGTGTGTACCTGTTCCTTTTCTTCTCTCTCTTCTTTCTCTTATATCTTTCACTTTGAATTTTTTTTTTTTTTTGGTCAGTTGTGGGCCTTGAACTCTGGGCCTGGGCGCTGTCCCTGTGCTCTTCAGCTCAAGGTGGGCGCTCTACCGCTTGAGTCTCAGCTCCATTTCTGGTTTTCTAATGGTTTATTGGAGATAAGAATTTCGTGGACTTTCCTGCCTGGGCTGGCTTTGAACCGTGATACTCAGATCTCATCCTCCTGAGTAGCTAGGATTCACTCTGAATTTTTTTTTTTTTTTTTGGGTCCGGTTGTGGGGCCTGAACTCTGGGCCTGGGCGCTGTCCCTCAGCTCTTCAGCTCAAGGCTAGTGCTCTACCACTTGAGCCACAGGGCCACTTCCGGCTTTTTGCTTATGTGGTGCTGAGGAATCGAACCCAGGGTCTCATGCATGCAAGGCAATCACTCTACCACTGGGCCACCTTCCCAGCCCCTCACTCTGAATTTTTAACTTAAACAAACACTGGGTTAAGCCAAGCACTGGTGGCTCATGCCTGTTTTCCTAGCTACTCAGAAGGCTGAGATTTGAGGATCGTGGTTGAAAGCCAGCCTGAGCAGGAAAGTTCCTGTGAAAATCTTATCTCCAATTAACCACCCAGAAAACTGAAAGTGGCTCAAACTGGTAGAGTACTAGCCTTGAATAAAAGAGCTCAGGGACAACACACAGACCCTGAGTTCAAGCCCTGTGACTGACAAAAAATAAAAATAAAAATCACTGTATTGTTCATAATAGGCTTTCTCTGACCCTTTTTCAGAGTGGAAATCGAATTCTATGTTCCATCATTCTGAGCCATCACCGGGGCCCGTCCATAATCAACTATGACGATGAGAGTGGGAAGACATGTGTACACATTGCAGCAGCTGCAGGTTTCGGTGACATTATTAATGACCTGGCAAAAGTCCCTGAGTGTAACCTGCAGGCTCTAGATGTGGATGACAGGTATCCATGGCAATTCAGGAAGTGCTGGGAACCAGCAGTCATCTTCCTGTAGTGTTCATCTTAAACTAAGGCTACCTAAGGAGTTATCCTACCGTACTCTGTCCTTATTACTGGTAATGCCCATGGGTTTGTGGCAATAAAAATTGCTCTATTTTAGTAAGAGGAGGAAAAATCATTGTTATGGAGAGAAATGTTGTGACTACAGTGTTGTCAGATTTTCCACTTTTCGCTAAATGTGTTCAGGGTTCTCAGAAGCCTTTCTATAGAGCAACTTCCTGCTGTGTATCCTTTTTGTTCATAATAGGAGACTTTATTTTCTTCTTTATTCCCAAATTATGTTCTAATGTCAACAAGGTTTTACCCAGAAGAGAACACAGAGAGATTTTGTATTGGACACAAATGGGCTGCTAGACATTTCTTTTAGTTTCTTTTAATCATTGAAATTGTATTGGCTGGCAGAGGAAACTGAGTCCAAAAAGGTAAAAAGGCTTATCTCAGGATAGTTAGCCACTCAGTGAAGGTTTGCACTTCTGTCTCAAATGGAGAGGTTTTCATCTACAAGGACCTGTTCACTTGACTTTTGTTTTGGCTAGGCAATGAACCAACAGGGTCACACCTGTAATCCTAACTACTCTGGAGGCTGAGATCTGAGGATCACAGTTTAAAGCCAGCCTGAGCGGGAAAGTTCATGAGACTCATCTCCAACTAATTACCAAAAACCCAGAAGTGGAGCATGGGTCAAAGTGGTAGAGCACTTGCCTTGAGCAAAAAAGCTCAAGGACAGCTCTCAGGCCCTGAGTTCAAGCTCAAAACTGACAAAAAAGAAAGAAACAAAGAAGTGGAAGAAAAATATGAACATGGCTACTGGAAATATATAAAGCTTATATATCATTTGGGTATGTCTGTACCCTTTCCTATTAAAGTGAAGCTAGCCACCTCCAGACTATGATTTGAAATGATTCACAAACACTCTTTATGATAGCTCGTGATTTTTGTTGCTATTGTTTTATATTTTATATATTTGTTTGTTTTGTTATGTTTTTTTAAGACAGGAGAAACAATTCTTGGGTTCCACATAGGTCTCAGAAGCTGGAAGTGATTAACACGATGATTTTCATTTAAACTATATATAAGTTATTGAAACTAAACTTTTTCGTAAGAGCAGGTGTTGACCCTGAGCAGATTTCATGTTACATTAGTAACATGGAAAAGTTGAATCATTGAAAAAAGGATGAACAAACTTCAGAAAAGAGGACAGGAACATTACCTTCTTCAAAATACTCCTAGAAGCATCCCTGAACACAATATTACCCATTTGCTTAGTACCATGAACTGAGCAAAGAAAAGCTAGTCCCCCAGATGGTAGGGGAGAAAGTTCAAGGGAAGTTCCCTCTCCAAGAGAGCTCACTCCCAGCTCCAACGCCCAGTCTTGCCGTGTCTCACATACTGAGTTAATCACTTTGCTGCTCCCATCTTTTTTCATGGCTTTTCTGATGCCAAATGTGCGATTCTGCCTTCATTAAGATGAAACTAGAATCTTCTGTTAGTAATTGAATTGTTCAATTTTTTCATAGGCGTTCGTGTATTAAGCATTTATAATCATTGTAAATTTCTTTCCTTCTCTTTTCTGATGAAAGGTTTTCCCAAAGAAAATTTTTGTGGCAAGTGAAGAAAAAATTAAGTAGTGCTTTGATAAAAGAGCTAGAAGAGCTTGGACAACTAGTCCTCCCAATTATAAAGAAAAAAACATAGAAAATATATAATTAATGTAGTGTATGCTTTTTAAATTTCATCAGTCAATGAGGTCACAATTCACATTAATAAGCAACTCATTTATCTTCAGGGAGGAACCGTCTTTTACCAAGTTCTCCTCCCTACATATTTCTGGAAATTCTCAGGGGAATGTTTACTTGTTTCACAAACCATTCCATAGCTATTGAGAGTTTGACCAATCCTTATACCCATCATCTCTCCATCTGGAGACTACCATATCCACATCTATCCACTGCTTGGGTCTGCCAAATTCTTTCTGAATTATGGGTCCTGATTTCCAAGCTTCCCACTGTGATCACAGAAACTTGTTTGCTGTTGAAGGGCTGTCCTGAAGCTTAGATATCAAAAGGAGCTATAGTTTAAACAACATGCAATTTATTTTTATTTTTTGTTGGTCATGGGGCTTGAACTCAGGGCCTGGGCACTCTCCCTCAGCTCTTCAGCTTAAGGCTAGTGCTCTACCACCTGAGCCATAGTGCCACTTCAAGTTTTCTAGTGGTTAAGTGGAGATAGCAGTCTCATGGACTTTCTTGCCGGGGCTGGCTTTGAACTAGGACCCTCAGATCTCAGCCTCCTGAGTAGTTAAGATTACAGGCATGAACCACCAGTACCCAGTGACAACATGCAATTCGATGCCACAAATACCCCAGGATATTAATCAGAGGTTATCTGTATGATGCTCTCATTTCTGTTTTATTTCCTATTTTTAGATCTCTTTCACAGTGATAAGGAATTAAAACCAATGGCAACAGAGTATTTAAATTGTTGGCTGGTGGTAAGCCTGACTAGATATAGATTAATGTCCAACTGTCCATCTACAGAATTTATTGGCCATATATTCTCCAAATTGGAGGGTATAATCTGCTGATGGCTCATTTTGTTTCAGAATAAATATTGCCTGACCACCTCTTTCACAGGGCATGGAGCAAATCATATCTGTCATGTTCAACTATTCAGTGATGGTTCACTGTATTGAAATTAATATATCACACTATTAGGTATCATGAAAATGCTGTGTCTAGCATAAACTGAGGAGGAGGGTGTTTAATTGACAGAGAACATAATTTATGTGGGAGGACTATGAGACTACATTGCAAACATATACACTGTAGATGAATATGATATTTACATTCTACAAACATATCCTTATGTCCAAGTAGCCGCAACTGAGTCTTCTCTGCACAAACCCAGGCTGCCTCCATGCCTAAGAGCTCCCTTCTCTTAAGAGCACCCTTCTGCCCAGGCCTCAACAAATGACCTGATATACCCTCCTTTCCTGCCCTAAGATTGGCCCATTTCCAGAATGACTGACAGGAGAGTAGCTTTTCTCTTCATTCATAGGAATATCTATCTTGCTCTTTGACTTCTTTACCCCATCCCCAAAGGGAAAATGTCCGAATACAATATGGTTACATCACTACACCATTCAAAAATGCAGTTTATTTATTCAGTCTTGAATTAAAAATGAATTACATGGCATCCAGTGTTCAGTACTTTCCATAATGATCTGATGACCAACGCCATCCATTCTCAATCATCTCCACTGAGCTGGCAGCAATGTCTGAGCAATTACAAGTCCACTGTTTCCAAACATCATAACATATAGGCACAGAGCAGCATGAATCTACACATAAGAAAAAAAATAATACAATCTGAAGAAAGGCTATTCTATCTCCCAGTGGTTTGATTTATTAATGTTTTTTTGTTGTAAAAATAGTGTACAGAGGAGTTACAGTTACGTGACTAAGGTAATAAGTACATTTCCTATGGAGCATTGTTGCCTCTTCCTTTGTTTATCCCCTACTATCTCTTACCTCCCCATCTCCCCAACTCCTCCCTCTTACTCCTCAGTGGGTTAATTCTATGTGCATTATTTAAACCACCCTTCTCAAACTTCTGTTATAGATAAAAGTAATTAGATATGTAACTATGCAACTTGTGGGCAGGGATGGGAGGGGGAAACTGTAGGCAAGAAAGAAGTGTTGGCTTTGTCCAAAAGAAAAATGCGTGCATCACCTGAGCTGTGAAATGGTAACCCCTCTATACAACACCTTAATAATAATACAAATATTTTAAAGTAATTAGAGAAAATGTTTACATTCATATAACAGGAAAGATCAATACTTTCAATACACACAGAGCCCATACCGAGTAGTGAAAAACAACTTTATTAGAAAATTAGACAAAGCTAGGTATTGTCACACTCTCCTATAAACTAAAGCAGCATGCTTGTGAGTTCAAGGACAGTTAGGGCTACATAGTGAGACCTTTATACAAAGGTCTGTTATGAAAGACAGACAGACAGAAGACATTACCAATAAATGAAGAAATTTTCAATAAATAAATGCAATGTCAAACATTGATTTCAAGAGTTGAGCTTAATCTTAAATAAAGAAAATCAAAAGAAAACAATAGCAAAGTATGATTTTTGCCTGTCAAGTTGGCAGCATATCAGACATTAGAAAAGGAGTAAGGACGCTGTTGTAGGAGGATAAATTGAGTGGGTCTTTCTGGCACTCTGTATCAAGAGCTTTTTTATACTTTCTCTTGTAGGAATTTCTCAGAAAAGTCAAGGCAGGCCAGAGAATACTTAGAGCTAGAGGAGAGGCTCCTGTGCCCACACACCATCATCTTTACGCTCCATTTCACACAAAGTATTTCCATATTGTAAATACAAAGTGATTTTCCAGCTTCATCCCCACTTGGAGTAGAATACGCAGTCTAGGAGGAGTTCATGCACTCAGACTTGTGTTCGTCCTGTGTGCCTGCTGCAGGACCCCCCTACACTGGGCTGCAGCTGCAGGGAAGGCAGAATGTGTCCGGTCACTGCTGGAGCTGGGCATGGACAGCAACCTGAGGGATATCAATGAGAGCACACCTCTAGCCTATGCCCTGTACTGTGGTCACACTGCGTGTGTCAAGCTCCTCTCCCAAGAGAGCAGGTGAGTGCATCAAAGGTTTGTGAAATTGTGAAAGAATTTCAAAATCTCCAATGTGTAAAACTAGCAAGAACTGAGTCATCTTACAATCGTATAAATAATAATAATACTTATGCAACTAATTATCTGTGTTTGCTATTGTCTAACAGTAAAATGGTCTTCATTTTTGTGGGAAAATTTCACAGTAATAAGACTGAATCCATCCTTCATTCACAGGACTTGAATCTCTGCTTTCCTTTTTCTCCTTTTCTTTTTCCTGTGGTACCATGTCTTATTAATCCCCTTTTGCTTAAATCATCAGTTCTCAAACTTCTCAGGACCCTTTTACACTCTCAAAAATCACTGTGATGCCAGGTGCCAGTAGCTTATGCCTATAATCCTAGCTATTCAGGAGGCTGAGTCTGAAAAATTTGAAGCCAGCCCATGCAGAAAAGTCTATGAGAATCTTATCTCAAATTAACTACCAAAAATCTGGAAGTACAACTGTGGCTTGAGTGGTAGAGCATGAGTCTTGAGCTAAAAAGCTATGGGACAGAGCCCAGGAAATGAGTTCAAGTCCCAGGACCAACACACACACACACACACACAATATATATACTGGAGGCAATAGTTAACCATATTAATAACTTTTAGTGTCTTGACAGGACAATAATTAGTTAAATGCCTATTTATACAGCGTGTGTATTGATGCTACTGCTGTCCTAATTTGTGCTAAGGGGGTGCTATACCTCCACTGCATCAACAAACAACTTATAAACATAGTTTTCATGTCATGAAACTCCTTAAAGAGTCTTGGGAATACCTCCCCTAAGTTTTAGTGATGCATGGAGAAATCTATTGGGTGAAATCACAGCCTGTAACAGAAGAAAGCACTGTTGTAGAAAACATTGAAATAGTTTTCATTAGTGCCGGGACCATATTCTGCATGGGAAAACTTGAAAGAATGTTGGAAGTCCCCTGACGTTCTCTCTAGGGGCCCTGAGTGTAGAGAAGCTGCTTTCAATACTTCAAAAAAAAATGTTATGCAAGGTGAAAGAATGAAGATCAAAACATATCATGGGAATAAGGACCATCACACACTGTGTAACCTGTAAAGAAAATGTTCCCTGCATTCAAAGTAGTGGTGTTTTTAAAGTTACAGATTATAATACTTCACTCCAAAGAGTGATGCTGCAGTCTGAGTCCTGGGCCATGTGTAAGTCAGGTTTCATCATTAATTCATACCACAGGAAGCATTAACTCCATTGTGGCTTCAAAAGAGAATGGCGCAGAGTTTCCAAGGAATAATAGAGTACTGCCAGGGGTGGGGGAAGAGGGGAAAAACCTCGTCATAAACAGAGCCAGCCACTTACTGCTGACCTTTCCCCAGGGTATCCAGCTGCTTGCTTTCCTCTGCTGCCATACCCAAACATGGCAGACACACATCAGCTGGAAATCTGTCCAAGGCTTCTCTCCCTGGATCCTTTAGTATACTCTTTGTGTGAGTGTATGGTTGGGGGTGAGGGGGGGGATTGCTGGTTTGGGGCCTTGAACTCTGAGCCTGGCCTCTTTCTGTACAAGGCTAGCTCTCTACCACTTGAGCCACACACAGCTTCACTTCCAGCTTGTGTGTGTGTGTGTGTGTGTGTGTGTGTGTGTGTGTGTGTGTGGTTAATTGGAGAAAAAGAGTCTCACATACTTTCCTATCCAAGTTGGCTTCAAATAGCAATCTTCAAATCTCAGCCTTCTGAGTAGCTAGTAATACAGGTGTGAGCCACCAGCACCTAACTTAATGTTCTTTCAGTTAAAAAAAATTTTTTAATTGGCAAATTTGTCAGAAAACATAAAAGGAGAGAAACAGATAAGTAGCCTGGTGGATAATTCCAGCTGTGCTTCAGAGAAGATCCGTTCTCTGGGATCTCATTTAGAGAAAACCTAAAGCCACATTCTCCTAGCCTGCAGCTTCCATCCTCCCATGAAGCAAAGCCTAAACTCACTCCTTCACTTTACCTCTTTACATAAAGCTTGTACTCCTGTGTGCTTGAGAAGAGAGAACAGCAATACTTGTAGGCTATTTGACCTGAATTAATCTTGGTGAAAACAGGTCAACTAGAGGTAAATTGCCAAAGCAAAGCCCTTAAGGAGCAAGAAGGATCTGACTGTACTGTACTAAGTGACCAGAGAGAGCCACCTCCACCAGGGGATCCCTGTAAATGATCCCATACAAGCTCAGTAAGCAGGTAGAATGAGGGCCAGTATTTCTATCCTCACATACCACCCTTGGTCCTTTGTATTTCCATAGAGCAGAGCCTGCTCGATCCCTTCCTTCTCAGAGTAATAGACCTCCCAAGAAGGAAGGACGTTTCAGCATGCTCAACCAAATCTTCTGCAAAAATAAGAAAGATGAGCAGAAGGCCCATCAGAAGGATCACAGCAGGGACCGACACAGGGGGCAGGATACCTCGGAAGTCGATGACATCATTACCACCTTTGACAGCATCGTGGATACCAACTGCCAAGACCAGCCTAGTGACCAGGTAGCTATGGTTGACTTTAAGAAGAGGACCTCCGAGAATTCAAAGTATCACTTGTCAGACAAGAAATCATTAGCCCGGAAGGGGCTTCCACCAATCAGAACACAGAGTCTCCCACCTATCACCCTGGGCAATAACTTCCTGACAGCCTCCCAGGGGACCACTTCCCAGGCCGGCCAGAGCTCGGGTGCTCAGCATACTACCCAGCGATCGCAGAAAAGTCGAAGTGAGCAGGACTTACTAAATAACAGGACTGGCTGCCAGATGTTAGATAACTCCTGGAAAGGTGATTCTAATCAGGTTTTCTCCTACAAAGCTTGGACTGTGTCTTCTTCTGATAAGCTGTTAGACAGACTGCTCGCTGCCCGACCTAGTCACCAAGAGCAACCTGGGCCACCACATCTTCCTCACCTTACCTCACCAGGTAATGCCCTTGCTTGCTTTCCCATTCCTGGCAGCCTCTTACCAGAAACACAGTTTCAGCCTAGGAATCAAAAGGTCAGTAGCCTCCGTGGCAGGGAAAGCATTAGATGATGAGCAAGTAGGACCTTTGTTGTTGTTTAATTGTGGCTGCCATGGGATTGGGGCTTTCCAGGCTATGCAGTTCTGCTTTTCTGCCCTGAAAATGATCAGGTAACTGGGTGCCTTCTCATCTTCCCAGCAAATGTGTGTGATGTCTCCCAGCCTAGAGCAGGAATAATTGTTATTTTCACTAGAAAGGATTCTTAACTAGAGGTGTGTGGCGAAATCACTCACAAGCAGTTGATTTGTTTGTGTGGTAGACTGAACATTGTTGAGAAAGGAAGGGAAATAGCAGTGTTAGACCACACGTTTACATCTTTATTACTTAAGTCTCACTATATGTAAGGATTACCTGGCAATATTCCTTCCTGTCTCTTAAGTACTCAGGGCGCCTCACCCAAAGTTACTAAGGCATGCTATTAATTTTTTTATTATCCTTCCAAAGATATTTCACTTACACAGGTATCTACATTTATACATATGAAATATACCTATATGTCTCTTTTCAATAACTGCAGTATTTATATTTTTATAACATATGGATGTATATGTATATATTCCCTCTCCTTATACATACATGTGTCACATGAAACAATTTATTAATTTAAAAACACTGGCAAGTGATTCTGCTTCTGAGGCCTGTGGGGCTACAAAGCAGCTAAAATCACTTCCCACACAGAGCATGTTCATTTGTCTGAATGGATTAACTGCCAATTTCCAAGACTTATGACAAGTTATATAACAAATACAAAACTGGTAGCTTCCCTTGAGAAATTGAAAAATCTGGCAACATTGAGTTCCTAAATTCCCTTGAGCAGTAACTGGCTAGATCTGAGAAACCTCTGTCAGCTCAGTTGCCACTGTCCCAGGTTCAACCTAGTTGGTACTACTTATTTGAAATCAGCCTTATACTTCCTTGGCTTGCGCGATTGGCTGGTTCTCTCTCAATTGAGCTGTTTCTCCAACCAGGCTTTTTCCTGGTTATTTTGGAGATGGATTCTCAAAGACTTTTCAGAAAAGGCGGCCCCCCAATCTATGAGCCTCTGGATCTCAGTGTCCTGGAGTAGCTGGGATTACAGGCGTGAAACACTAGTTCCAGGCCCATCTCACTTATTTTTTTATCAACTATTTCTGCTCTCATTTTTTCTAGTAGTAGGATTAAGAGATAAAACTATTTCTTGAATCCATATTCCTACTAAGAGTAGAAAAATTGAAAATGAAGAGGACAATACATGTCTTGAAAAGTAGCTGAGGGCCATGTTTCTTTTAGAAGGAAGAACATTCCTTCGTGTTAATACACAATGAGTTGGGCTCTCTTACTTTACTGGCATATGCCTGATACATGAATCCCTTGAATCTGAATATGACTCCCTTTTCACACATTTACACATACTTAAACTAGGATAGATATACAGAAGTCCTGGTATCTGAGGTAACACTGAAGGTTTAACTTGCCCCGTAAAGCCATGAGCAAGGGTTTTATAGTTTTGCTGCAGAGAGATGAAGGGAACACGTGGTTCTGCCATCTTTTGAGACTTTAGTGGCCTCCAAGGCCTCTGGTTAGCTTGCTTTTTGGAATTATTCCTTTCCTGATCAAGCTAATCCTTTCTCCTTCCAAATGCATTTTGAAAGTCTTTTTTGTTTCCTAAACAATCTTGGGATATCTTTTCATATCAGTTAGGAATTCAGCTGCCTGTAACAGAAACCCAAAGTCACAGTTAAAGAACATAGATGTTGGTATGAACCACAGTATTCTCAACCCTAGACAAAGCGTTCAAGGCTAACCTGGGCCTCATAGCACAATCCTAGCTCAAAAAAAAAAATCTACTGCAATTGTTACTAAACCAAGCATGTTGTGCATTCTGCTCAGTATACCAATCACTGATACAATGATTTTTGCAAAAAAAAAGTGAGTTCCTACATGGCCAAGCATAGATATCCTCAAATCTCAAATCATCTCCTTGAGTATAGCTTTTGGGGGCATTTATGGGATAAAGAATTTTGGGGATAGGTGATAGGAGGTGAAATGGTCAATGGTATGCCACACAAAGTCACACTTCATGGGACACATGTCTTGTGGTATGTAAGCATGATCAGAGAATAGAGTATTTACCTTTTTTTTTTCTGGGTCTGGTCATGGGGCCTGAACTCTGGGCCTGGGTGCTGTCCCTCAGCTCTTCAGCTCAAGGCTAGCGCTCTACCACTTGAGCCACAGCACCACTTCTGGCTTTTTTTTCTTTTTGCTTATGTGGTGCTGAGTAATTGAATCCAGGGCTTCATGCATGCAAGGCAAGCACTCTACCACTGAGCCACTTTCCCAGCCCCAAGTATTTACCTTTTGAAATGAAAGACCACCCATCAGATATTGGGTGAAGAATCAGTGGTCAACAAACTCATTCATCAAGCCCTGAAGAGTAACCAAAGTAAGCATTACCACAATCCACAATCCATGTGTTAGAGGTGTTATCTGCAACAAAGCTAGTGTGAGACTTGCAACATGTTAGCCAGATAACTGAGGGGGGGCTACAGGTGCTCAGGCAGGGAATAAGTACTAAAGGCTATTAGGAAAATGAGACTAGGCTAGCTGTCTTTGCTGGCTGATAATTATGTTAGAATTCTGTACTCCCATTGAGTCTCAGTGAGTGTGGTCATAGATATTTTGCTGGTTCCCTGAGAGATGCTTCTGAGCTTCTAACGGTGAAAGACATACAATATTTACAATTCTAAACTCCTTTAGTAAATTCCCAGTAAAATGTTTCAGACAATCAAGCAACAGTACTTACTCTGTGATCCTCAGTAACTCAGGCTCCTTCCTTCTATATGATCCAAAGCCTAACATACGGCTTCTTCTCCAGGTCATGTCACATTCAATAGCTGATGGAAAAGAGGAAGGAAGGGAAAGAGAAGGTAGATGTCCCCACCTGAATTAACCCCATTAAAAATCTACAAGTTCCACACTTCTGCCTGCATCTCATTGGCCAGGACTTTAGTCACATGCTCATACCTTATGTGCAAGGTAGACTGGCAATTGTAGTCTTACAGCTGGGCATATGTCTCTGTCTTCAAAATGGGACTTGTGTTTCAAAAGGAGAACAAAGGGTAGACATTAGATGTAAAACTAGTACAATCTGTCTCCTGTATAATACAACATTTTCTGTATTACTTGAAGTAAAATAAGTTAGACATTTAATACATATGCTAAGGGTATTGCTTAGTCCCCACTGAAGCAACCAGGAAAGTCCTAGAGCAGCTGAACAGCAAAAATGAGATGCAAAACTCTCCAAGGGATTATTTTTTTGGTTGGTTGATTGTAGGGCTTGAACTCTGGGCCTGGGTGCTGTCCCTTAGCGCGTCAGCTCAAGGCGACTGCTCTACCACATGAGCTACAGCACCACTTCTGGGTTTCTGAGTGGTTTATTAGAGATAAGAGTCTCACAGACTTTCCTGCCCGGGCTGGCTTTGAATTGTGATCCTCAGATCTCAGCCTCCTGGGTAGCTAGGATTACAGGCATGAGACACCAGCACCCGGCTCCAAGGGATTCTTAAGAAATTAGCTGTGTTTATAGCAAAGCACTTATTTTTTTCAACAGTCAGTGCTAATTATAACTAGGAGATAGATACTGAAGGAAACTGAGTCATGATAAGCCAAATCTTCTGAGACTTCAGCTTATAAAGAAACTTTAAAGGAAATGAATTTGCTAAAATGATTATGCAACTGATTTTTTTGTCGTTGAGGATCAAATGCAAGCCATTGCATATGCTCAGCATGTACTCTTTGAGCTATAGCCCTGGCCCCACACTGACTTTAAAGTGAGTTGTTTTTCATGTTTGGACACAAAGTCATAGGGTTTTTAAGTAGAAAGAACCTTGGTCATCCAATTTCCCAGAGGTAATGAAGAAGGATCCTAAAGCCCTGCCATCTAGGTCCAGACTCTGCCTCTGTTACTTCCTTGCTGTTATTTCATCTCTCTAAGCCTTTCCGTTTAAAGGAGGGAAGATTAATTTTGGCTCATGAGTTCAGAGACTTTAGCCAATCCACTGGGCTCTGGACCTGTGTAGAGATTGAACATCATGACAGGAGATGTGTGGAGCAAAGTGGCTTACCTCATGGACACAGAGGCAGAGATGACAAGGGTTCAGTGTAATATGTAGTTCTAGAGGAGACATTTTTAAGGACCTACTCCCGTCAATAAGGTTCCTCCTGCTAAGTTTCTCTCACCCCTGGAGACTTCCTCATCTACTGTGACAAAGCTACAGATAACTTTTATTTTAAAGATAATGCAATTTAAGCTGAGCACTCCTTAGGAAGGAGGAAGGGAGGGAGGGAAGGAGAGAAGAAGGGAGGAAGGAAAGAAGGAAGGAAGGAAGAAAGGAAAGAAGGAAGGAAGGAAGGAGGAAAGGAAAGAAGGAAAGAAGGAAGGGAGGAAGGAAAAGAAGCAAGGAAGGAAGAAGGGAAGGAGGGAAGGAAAGAAGGAGGAAGGAAGGAAGGCAGTCCAATATGATGAACAGAGAATGAAAGGAGAAAACCATCAGCTGTCCATGGTGTCCCTGCTTCCCATGGAATCTCCACCAGGCTCCATCTCATCCAGCTCCCTCTGTGTGTGCCCGTCCTTGTGGTGCTGGCTCCAGCTTAGTTCCTTGGGCCTTAGTGTCACCATCCTTTCCTGTATCCCTCCAGCTGTGGCCAGCCTTATTCTCACTTATTCTTCCCAGCTTTGCTCTCATGCATATAACTGATTTTCTATATGAATTTCCCTCTGCTTGAAAGAACTATAGGTGTCTGCTTCCCTAGGTGAAGTCAGATTGATGTCAAGAAATGTCATATTTCTGGACCAAGAGTTCTAACCCTCTAGACATAGGAGCTGGGACTATTTTTGTCTCATGGGACCCTTTCTGGTCACAATTTGCACAAGCTACAAACGTTCCATGATTTGTTCTATCTTGTAGCCAATGAATGATATATTCAGCACTTGAACACAGATTTCCTTAATAGGAAAATGAAATCCTATTTAGGAATAGTAATATGTTCCTCTCTTTAAATCTTGAAGTCCAGTTTATTGGTTTTCCTACCAATTATCTCTCATGTAATTTTTCTTGTTAATTACATTGTTCTCCACTAAATGAAAAGATTTTCCTGCCTGATGGACTGTATTCGTGTGATCATTTTTATCCCCACATGACCCATTAGTTTTAGAACTAGTGAGCCTTTTGCATTAAAATGGAAGGGTTCTCTGGAAGCGTTTAAGTTCTTAAGTCCAGGAACATTGAAACTGAGCAGATTTCTTACAATGAACTTCCATATTTTCACCTTAATGTGTTAAAGCAATATAATACCATAAGTCAGACTATTGGGCCACTTACTTGAACTTGGGTAGTCCCTTTTGCTTTGGCCTTTTTCTCCTTTCCTGCCTAGGTTCAGTGGAAGAATAATGCAGGTTAGAAATGCCACTATTTGAATTCTGGGCAGCTGCTATCCCGTGCTTACATCAGCAACTCTGAACAGTTAGCTGTAATGATGATTACTTAACATTTATTGAGACCTGTCAGCAGGCTAGATGACAGATGGGGATGAGGCACTTATTCTAATGAGTTGGAATTTGGAGCACCTCTGTTTAATTTATTGTGAGCAGCTTTCAGAGAAAATGGAACAGAAAGCTCTGCGGTGTTTTCTGCTAGCCTGGTTATTTACAAGGCATCACAAGAACAAAGTGCTCACTTCCTTTCTCCCTCTAGGGAGAACTTCCTTCTCCAGAAGTTTCTAGATTGTCCCAGCAACAATGCACTCTTCTGGCTGAGCAGGTCAGATCCTGTGACCTTTCCATTTAAAAACATCAGCAGCTTTCTCGATTTCCAGGACAAAAGCTAAATTCCTTAACTGGACAAACACAGCCTCAGTGTTGCTGTCTGACCTGTGTGCCACTCTGGATTTCTCTCCTCTCCAGTCCCCACTTCCTGGGCCTCACCAGTTCCTTGAATATTTCTCAATTCCTGGAAAGTCACCTTTGCACTTTGTGACTCTTTTGCCTACATTTCCATTTTAGCCTCTCTCCACTGTTGAATGTGACCAATTCCGCCAATATTCTAAGACCCAGCTCAAGCCACGCATGGTGGCACACGCCTATCATCCCAGCACTGGGGAGGCAGAGGCAGAAGGATCTCAAGTATAAGGCAACCCAGGCTACCTAGTAAGACCCTGTCTCAAACAAAACCAGGGGGAGCAAAGTCAGCTGAAAAGTCACCTTTCCTGTGAAGAGCAGCTGAGCCCTGTAGGAGGGGTGACCCTTCCTGTTCATAATGTAATTATCCCTGCCTTGTGGAGGGCTTCAGTTTTCAAGGCAGAGGAGAAGTTTTTACCCCCATCACATAAGTGAGGAGAATGAGACTCACAGAGCTCCACTCACCTGCCCAAGGTCACAGATTACCGAAGAAGTGGTTAGGTGAATGGCAGACCTCCTCTTCCACAGCAATGTTTTCACATGTATCCCAGCGTTACTTTGTGGCTTCAGAATTACTGAGTTTGCCAGTGTTCACTCCCCCTTCTCTGTGCCCTTCAGTCTGGAATACAGTGCAGCAGTGGCTTCTCAGTAGATGGTTGACTTGACACCAAGGGATGGAGGATAGGGTGGAGTTAGGGTCAGGCAAAGTTGGTCTGCCAAATTGGCCCAGAATGTGATCTCCAAGAGTAGGGTAAAATGAGGAAGACAATGGTACCTATCTCTGGAGAAAAAGTGGCAGCTAAGGTTAAACAAGATGATGCCTGCAGTAATTATCCCAGCTTCAGACCGTAGAAGGTATTCAATAAACACTATTTATAGGAAGTGGTGCTGTAGGTCAAGTGGTAGAGCGCTCGCCTTGAGCTGAAGAGCTGAGGGACGGTGCCCAAGCCCAGAGTTCAAGCCCCATGACCGACCAAAAATAAAACCAAAACCAAAACCAAAAAAAGAAACCCACTATTTATAGTTAGCAAAGTCATTGCTTAGTCTTGTAAACATGTGCTCTTGCCTTCAAGAGACGAGCCAATTTGAATTTTAATATAATTTTACCCAAGAATTTTTTTTCAGTAAATAATGGCTCCTGGAGTTGTTTGATCTTCAAAGTTAAAGGATTAAAATATAAATAACGTGTGGTGGGCTCATGCCTGTAATCCTAGCTAATCAAGAGGCAGGCTCAAGTGGTCTGCAAGTCTGAGGCCAGTCATGGAAGAGTTAGTGAGACCCAGTCTCAAAAACAAAATACAAACATAAAGTCTAGAGGCATAGTTCAAGTGTTAGATCCCTTGCCTAGCATGCTGGGGACCTTGAGTTCAATGCCCAGTAACATAGAAGAAGGAGGAGGAACAGGAGGAGGAGCAAGAGGAGCAGGAGGAAGAAAAGTATAAAACAAGAAATTTTGTTCAGTCTCCATGGAATCAAATTGCTTAAGTGGTTCATTTAAGTAGGTGGAATCTTGACTAGTTATTTTTTCTTTTGTCTTATGCCAAGGACTATTTTGCCCAAATAGAAAACTTTAACTTCATGAGTATTGCTAAAATGATTCAAATCCTTTCTTACTAGACTACTAAGTATCAAATCTTTTTTAATATATAATGTTGACTGAGTGCTTTACTTTTTTTAAGCTAAACACTTCATACTTACCCTCCAATTTATTAATTGCTAGAAAATTCAGATACAATTATTTTCTCTACTGTATAGATTTGGAAGTTGGGGCATAGAAGATCACACAGCTAAAATATAGGGAAGCAGAAAATTCAGCCCAATCCTGGCTAACCTTGGAGATTGAAGCTCTCAGCTATTATATTACTTGGCCAACTTTCAAAATGTACTTAAATAACTTTCGTGTATGCCTTTCTATTTTCAGATATCTAGAACACCCATCTTTTGTAATCAGTAGTGTGTTGAATTTTTTAAATAACAGGCTCCACTTGACGGCCAAGTTCAAACACTAGGTTGATATCAATCAATTCCCAAAAGAATGTACCCATCAGCCCTCCACCTCAGCTCATAAAAAGGGCTATTTCTTTAGAACCTCACCTAGCTGTCTGCTGGTTCAGCGTTTTACAATCCTGTGCACATTTGCATTACTTGGAAGCTGAAGAAAATCTGGCATTCCACCTCTAGAAATCCTGGTCTAATTGACCTGGGGGGTAGAAAGGGTAGCAGTTGTTTCTTTAAGATCATATGCTTCCATGTGCAGACAGGATTGAGAAACTTTGCTCTAGGAAAAGCTAGTCATCACTCACTCATCAAAGATGGGGGGATAGATATGTGTAAAGATATGCCAGGCCAGGGACTGGTGGCTCATGCCTGTAATCCCAACTACTCAGAAATAGAAATGGCTCTGTGCTTCAAAGGAGTAGAACGGTAGCCTTGAGTGAAAGAGATCAGGGACAACATCCAGATCCTGAGTTCAAGCCCCACAACTAACAACAACAACAAAAATAATGTAATTAAATTTAAAAAATGAAGATATGCTAGACTCAGATTATTTTTTAAACTTTAAATTTTAGCTAGGTACTGGTGGCTCACACCTGTAATCCTAGCTACTCAGGAAGCTGAGATCTGAAGATTTCGGTTCAAAGCCAGCCCAAGCAGGAAAGTCCATAAGACTCTTATCTCCAATTAACCACCAGAAAACCAGAAGTGGCGCTGTGGCTCAAGTGGTAGAGCTTTGGCCTTGAGCTGAAGAGCTGAGGGAGAGTGCCCAGGCCCAAAGTTCAAGCCCCATGACTAACAAAAAAACAAAACAAAAATTTAAATATTATAAAGTGACTGACTGCATGCTTATAAAATTTTATTTACACTACTCCATTCCAAAAATGATTCCTGATTCCTTCACACTTAAATAACCAATGGAATCTACTAGTAGTAATGCAGTTGAGTGTGGCTAGTCTTGATTTCATTGTTTGTGTACATTCAATTTAGTGATCTGTAACAACTTTCATGACTCTCTAATCCGCTGCATTTTATAATTTGTGTTTGACTGAGTCTCAAATGACTAATACAAATATGTTTGTTCCCAGGACAAAATTTTCAGCATCTATCCCCAAACAGACCCAAAATCAGGGATCTTCCTTTCATTCGGAACAACCTAGCTCCCCTAACAGACCAAAAATGTAAGTATCTGGAGCTGCTGCCTGAGCTTCCTTTGCAAGTGTGCACACATTGTCTAGCTCAACATTATTTCACCTCATGTTCATTTCTAAAATAGCATCAGGTGCCAGTACCTATAAATGCAAGAAAATAGAGGCAATCTATGAAGCTCATTAAAGTTTGGTAACACTAAATCTTTTCCAAAAAATATTTCTTGAAAAATGAATATATGCTCCATTCTGAAAATGTTGTGTTGAGCTATAAAAACAATAACAAGATTGTTTTCTGTATCTTATTTGATGTCTTGAAGAAGATAGTTTAAAAATTCTTACTAGTCATCTTGCGTTGAATGCATAGAAATGCATGCCCTCTCTGTACTCATGACCCATGATTCCTAAGCAGAGAGGGGCTGTTCGTTTCTGAGATAGGATCACACTCTATAACCTAGCAGTCCTTGAATTCACAACCATCCCCCCTCAGCTTCTCCAGGTGCTGAATTTACAGGTATACACCACCATACATGACTTTGCCTGATTCATTTATTTGTTGTTATTATTTACTTTATAATATCTCATATCAAAATCTCAAAATACAAAAGATAAACATACTCTCTTAAACCAAGGATCTTAATACTTGTGTGCCTAAGTGTATTACTGGTATTTCCTATTGAAATTAGATACCTGAGCCAAACTCCTAGAGAGTCTGAATTTATATATCCTGGTACCTGCATTGTGAGTTAAGCTTTATTATTAATATACCCATTGTACAGATGGGAAAACTGAGTTCATAAAGGTTACATGACTATCCTAACATTATTTATATAGTAAATAGCAGAGCCAAGCTCAAAATTACAGGATATTAAGCCAGTATGGCAAACATATATACCTGTAGACTCAACACTCAAGAGGCTGAGGCAGGAGGGTTGAGAGTTGGAGACCAAACCAGATTACATATGGATATATTATCCAAAACATAACAAAAGAAACAAAACATCCTGCAGGATATTGAGACCGCTGCCTCACTAAAAAGCAACATTTAATGAACTCTAATTTTCTCCCTATTTTCCTACTTAAGCCCAGACATTTATTACATATATGCTGAGAGAGAGAAAGAGAGAGGGTGGAGGGAGAGGGAGAGGGCGGGAGAGAGCGTTATCTCCACTATATCCACATTTGACTCTGAGTTAGATTATTTAGGTGATGTCCTAATTATTTCAGACAAGTTCCTTAACTCTTCTGAACAGTTTTTTCACTGGGCTGGAACAATAGTGTCTGTCTGAGGAGACTGTTGGGAAGATTAAATGGGATGACATATTTACATTTGGAAAACACTTAGTGCATTGTTTGCAAAGAACATTTCACTATGCTTTTCTTCCCCAAGCTACAGTTCCAAGCGGACCAACCAAGAGCTTTTAGAACCTTTCAGTGGAAGCAGTAACCGTGGGGTCTTACCACAATCCCATCTTTTCATAGACGAGTAAATAAAGTTAGAAAAATTTGTCTAAGTTTGCAGAGTTAGAAGGAGAAACCTAGGCTTCTTCCTTGACAGATAGTTCTGCCCCATCTTGTTTATTGAGATGAGCTCTCACTAACTTTTTGCCTGGGCTGGCCTCAAACTGTGATCTTCCTATTCTCCGCCTCCCTAGTACCTGAGATTACAGGCAGAATCCATTGTATCTGACCTCTAAATCCACATTTAATCAGGACTGTAATCACAAAGACATCTAGTTAAGGTAAGAGTCCTAGTGTCTTGAATCCTAGTGGAATGTGGAGAATCTAGCGTTTTTGTTTGGTAAGGCAGAAGCTATGCTTTGCAGAATTAAATTTTGAGAGATGAGACCAAGATCCCTGGTGAAAGAAATCAAAACAGAAGGGCATCCTAGGTACTGCCTAAAAGAAACCTGTGGACCTTTGGAATACAAATGTCTCAGATCCTTTTTAGAACCTTGGGCTTACTTGACTGTCCACCATAATTCTTCCCAAAGGAAAGTACTGTGCCAGGACACACAAGCCAATGGTGATGGAATCCAATTTGGTAAAGTCTTATATTTGTGAATATTTGAAATCTTTGACCGTATAGGGTAAGACTGAATAGAAATATGCTATTAACTAGATATGCAGTTGTTGGACTCAAGCTATTCCTCTTGAGTCAAACTCCTGCCAACAAGACTTCTTAGAAATATCTCCACCCCTCAAGAAATAATACAGTTCTATGTCTTAATTGTCTTGTTCAATGCCTCCCCCTCCTCTGCCCCAGTTCTATCTGGAGAACCCCTAAGAACAAACCGAGTGCTTCCTGCGATTCCAAGTCAACGGGGACAAGGCCCAGCAGCTGAAGAGGATGACCACACTGCTAATCCCACCCATGACACAAATTAAAAACTGTGGGCCACTGCCTGTGGAAATTCAGATGACATATATTTTCAGCTGTCAAAGTGCAAGATTACTCCAGTTTGTATGAACAAAGACTGATTTAGCAAGCTGCATTCTACATGCCATTTGGTTTTATAATTCAAGATTTTTGATTCCAGAAGAAGTATTTGGATAGAATCTTGGAGTATGCATATATTATTAAGTCTGTGAGTTTCTATAACTGCTACATGTCATAGGAAAATGTGTTTTTAGCTGAGAATCTTAGCTGTGTTTGGTTTGCTTTGTGGCATGTTTGCTGATCTGTCTGTCTGCTGAATGATTTTGTGATGTTATATTTTTTTGATGTATGCTTTGCTGAATAAA